CGGAAACGTAATCTACTTCCTGGATGGCCCTCGTATAAAAGCTATAGTTTATGTTCCAGGAACATTGGAATTCCTGAAACTTTTATTTATTTGTTCAGTAATAGGAATTTTTAGTTTAGTTCTTCATTGAACTTTCTTGCAGTAAATAATCCAGTGGATCTAAATGTGTGAAATTTTGATTGGTCTCTGAATATCCATGTTATATCAGCATGATAAATCCTTTCTTGCAGTGGATTTCCAAATGCCAGATTTTTTTTTAACATTTTATGAACCTTCTTACCACCTGCCATCGTATCCATATACCTTGGTAATGTGTCAGTTTCTGGATTAACTTTTATTATATATTTTTCTTTTAATTTAGTCATAAGTTTTACAGCAACCATAAGTTTTGCGTGATTTTCCATAGGAAAAAATTTCTGGTACTTTTCCATTTCGCCGGCGCAAATCTTGCCAAGCAGACTTTATTGGCGACAACATACACTATACACAAATAAAAAATGTTAATGAATGTTAGTTCTAAGAATTTTTTATTTTGAAGGCATAAACATTTTAATATCGTTTATAATTTTGTAAAAAGCCAATAAATAAAGACAATAAATTTGAAAAAAGATGTTAATTTAAGAATTTACTATGCTTTCATTGTTCAACATCCTGATTCGCCTGTTCATATCACACCCCAAGTAATCTCATCTCACGTAAACTATGTTATAAAAATATAATTCTCTCAGTAATTATCTACATTAATTTCAAGTTAAATCTTCATTTGAAATATAAGTTTAAATGCAAGAATTATTTCAATTCGTGTGAACAGCTTACTCAGAAATTATTTAAAATCGCAGTGCTTTACTTCGCTAGTGCATTCTCGTTAGAATTGATGAATTTAACCTTTGACTTTGCCTTTTCTATATTTTCACCTTTGGGTGAGCTGTATGATTGCATCCTAATAACTTAATTACGGCGAATGACTTTAGGGCATAAAATTGAACTATCTAGTACAAATTCTATGTAATTGTATGCCAGTAATGAAAGAAACAATCAATCTGATAAGAAATGCCTGCGACTTGTTTTAAAAATTGAAGCGTGAAAAGTTATCAGCGTGTATGTTAAGTTTGGCATCGGTTGTACCATTTTTGGTGAATTTGGCACCTGCGCTGGCAAAATAGAAAAGTACCAAATTTCTTATTCTGTGGTGTTGTCTTGAAATAGAATCTTAATGTCATTTCAACCATTTCGTGCAATACCTATTGTTTGTAACTTAAAAAAGAGTTGGAAAATATTTTATACTAACAATTTTATGATGCATTTAAAACTTACCTCCTGCATAATTAATTTTTTAATAGAACTCATAACCTGTAATATCCTATATTGTTTGCTTCAAATTTGAAACTATGTTTAAATATTTTTATGGGAAATTAATAGTCTCAAACATCTGTAACATCAAACACAGTTGACGATAGTTCATGCAAACAGTTTTATGATGCCTTTGAAACTTTTACCTCCTATACAATGAAATTTTTGCAGAACTTGTAGTTATTTTATAATGTCTTGAAATGTTTGCTTCAAATATGAAACTACTAAAATATTTTACTGGAGAATTAATAATTTCAAACAACAAATGATAAATCTTTTGATGTATTTTCTTGATGTATTCTTTTGATGAATGTCTACTAGAAACTAAATACATCATTTAACTTATTATACCATTTCTTTTCAGCACTTTTTTGAATAAATTTTATTTTAAAATTCATATTGAATATTTTCTTTTATACAACAGATTTTTAAGCAGGTAAACAGGAATAAATATAAATATATAGTCAAAAGTCTTTAATCCGGACTCATCACTTCGGTGATTCCGGATTATCGGTTTTTCCGTATTATAGATCATCAGTTTAAATCTGGTAAGATGGCATGCAGAAATTATGAAATTAAAAATATGAAACTGTAATTTATGAAATAAAGAGCAATTATGATCTAAAGGGTGTCAAAATTTACAAAAAAAAAAAAAAAAAAAAAAAAGGCTTAATATTTATTTGTTTACATTATTAACTTTCAACGCACGCATGCGTAAAGCATACATTACACATAGTCAAAATTAGAAAATTGCAACCAGGAAACTATTTGATGTGTATTCGTGATATTTATAATGACGAGGGATTTGATTTAAATCACATATCAAAGACGAGGTACATCGAGATGAAATACTACAATTGTTAAGGAATTATTAGCCGAATAAAATAACAACATCTGCCCTGAAGATAAGGATAGTGCTGACAGATCAACTTCCAGTTCATTGCGCGCCGCGATGTTCCTTCCCCCCCCCCCGGCAGAGCAGCGTGAAATTGATAAACAGATTTCGGAATGGTTAACTCTTTGTGGTGCACTATACGTTAACATCGGAATTTCAACAAAAAAAAAAAAAAAAAAAAAAAGTTGTATGCAGTCTATTTAGTCCTAAAGGAGTATACAGGTAAATTTTTTTTTAAATTGCACTTACCGTTTTAATTCTGTGGGTGTTCCATGAGGTGGAACACTGCGCCGCCAGAGCTTTTAAAAGTGCGACTAAGCGAGCATTGCAGTGAAGCACGAAAATGAGTAGAACCGTTTGTATAAGAATGAAAAAACTGTATTATGGCTGTATACATGGTTTCCTGGATATACACAATATTCTTGAATATATACAGATAAATGAGATAAATATCTATATACACAAGTCCTATATACAAAAATATTTACAAATTTTCCTATTTCTTAGCTTCGTAAAATTGTTCAAAGCAAGTCACACCTTTTTGATGGAAGCACAAACCAACTACGATTAAAATAATTAACTACGATTAATATTAACAATAAAGAAAAATAAGCCTATAATATATACATACACGAAAAATATCTGCAGAATTATTGAAAATAAACAGGAATGAGTCTAAAAAGCGACAGCAAAAAATTTGCGCAGGTCTAAGTAAAGATGAGTCAAGCTACTAATAAAATTCCCGTTTAAAAACTACTTCCAAAAAATTCGAGATGCTAATATTAGGGCTTTCATAACACAAAACACACCTCACTCCTCAATACTGCTTTGTTTGAATTCATTCCCCCCCCAAAAAAAAACAACGAAAACAGAAAACGTAAACAACGGATGTTCTCTCCTAAGCACAGATGTTCTGATTTGTAACAGCATGAGATCGCTAAAGGTGCAGTGTTCCCACTAATGGAACACCCGGTTTTATTCATTGATTCTGCGTATGGTTTTTGTATGAAAGATTAAAAAAGAAAAAAAAATAGAACAAATAATTTGGAGTACAGCCAGCAAAATTATGCCTAATTTTTTTTCCAAATAAAATTTTTTATATCATTAAAAAAATAGAGAAAATTACTTGAAAAAAAGTGGATTTTAATAACACATAATAAATGAAAATTCTGTTCTCCTTGTGATATACTGCTATCTACTGTTTAAAACGAAAAGTTCAAAGTATATTATAAAGCCATTTTTATCTATTAACGGTTGAATTTAAAGGTTTCAGAAGTGATTCAGTTTGGGTGTTCCATGTAGTGGAACACTGAGCCACAAAGGGTTAAAGAAACAAAGGATATGCCTTTATCCATTTTTGGCAGCAATTCCACCTTTTGTTTGATGGACATTGAAACATGCTTTCACTTTGTACATCCTTTGGCAGCTCCAGAATAGGAAATTCTTTTTGACATAATCGAAAGTTCAACCTTAGTTTTATAAAATTGCTCTAACAGTCTGCAAAAAATAATAAGCCGGATCCACTTAGAAGATTGAGGAACAATGCAATCTGCAATATTAACTGACATAGATAATTAGATGATTTTAGCTTATCTTATACGGTCCATTATACATTAAACGCGCATACGTAAACGTATTATGCGCATGGGTAAACGCTACACATGCACAGAAAGTTTAGCTTCGAGGTCCGGATTAAAGACTTTGTACTATATTATTTTAGGAACTTGTACTGAAATATATTTAAAAAATAACTTTTTAGTTTGTAAATTTATTTGAATTTCAAAATCTTATTTTAGTTATGAATAAATTGCAATTAATTTTTTTTCTACAAGTTTTATTTAAAGGAATGATTGGTTATGGTATGGCTAAGGCAGCTGTCCACCACCTAATGTGTAAACGCATTATATGTTTACACATGCACAGAAAGTTTGTAGCTTTGAGGCCCGGATTATAGATCATTTCGGATTATGGACGTTCGAATTAAAGACTTTTGACTGTGTATATTCTGGATACAAATGTGAACAACAATATGCAAAATACAGAATTAGCTACAGTCTACTTGTATCATTTTAAGAACTTGCTTAATGTTACAGCAAGATAATAGGTGGCCTCAAATACATATTTATTATTATTTTAGTTTCTATTTTCCCCCTATTAATTCCAAGTTTTTTTTTCAATAAAATTGTTAAATATAAAAGACAATAACATATTTTCTTTATAACATAGTTGTAGTAAAGATGTTACTTTAAATGATTATAATAAAATTTAAAAAATACTCTGCAGTTTTATTAACATTAATGCTTTTATTTCTATGAAGAAATATTTGATTTGTGTAGAAATGTGCAATGAAAATTATTCATCTTATCTATTATATTCAGTGCATACTACTTGCAGTTTTATATTAATTTCTGCGAATAATGAAATATATAGATTTTATTTATTTTTGGTATAATGCCATTTTTACAATGATTTGTGAAGTTCTATGAATCCTGATAACTGATGTTTTGAGAAGAGGAACTTTATTTAGAATAGTTTGATTTTATGATTTTAAAAAAATTATTTTTTACTGTTAAATTTTCTTACTTGTCAATTATAGTAGCTATTAAAAATTTGTATTCTGTGTTTTTCTTTTCTTATCTTTCTGTCTGTTCTTTTTTTCCCTTGTATGTAAGTTAATAAATAATTGATGTTCGCTATGCAGTTATTTTATTTTATTTTATTTATTTATTTATTCATTTATTTATTTATTTTAGATTTGATTAAAAATTCTGATCTCATGTGGAAACAAAGTGTTTGGACATCTGTGATTTCTGCCAAATTAGCTGTTAAACATTTGAAACAAGGAGGTTTACTGACATTAACTGGTGCAAAAGCAGCACTTGAAGGAACACCTGGTAATTCATAATATTTTTCATTTTATTTCATACAAAGTATGAAAATATTGAATATTTAACTACAAATATTTAATTGCCAAATTTCCACTGATTAAAAAAGTTGTACACACTTTAAATAAAAAATAATAATAATAATTACTTCAATAACAGGACCAAACAACAAAATGAATAAATCAGTTAAAGAGAAACATAGAAAAAGAGACTAATAATTCATAAAGCATATTTATTATCTGTAAATTACATACTTTTTTAAATGTTTTTTAAAAAAATTCTTCATCCAGATTCTTAATTTAGATTATTTTTCAGTCGTTGGAGAGACAGAAATATATGACATAATGTTTATTCTCGTAAGTGAGATTCTTAAGCATCATTTTTAAGTATTTTAATCAATCTATCAAGATATGTGATTATTATAAATAACCTTATATTGGAAGAAATCTGGTTAATCTTTATTTTTTGTAATCTTATATTTTAACTATGCAATGCTTGTCATATTAAATATCAGGATATTCTGTAAATGCAGTAGCAAACTCGGAGGAATGCACAGGCAGAAAAGAAGATATAATTGTTGCGAAATATATCATAAATCACATTCAGGAAAAAATTGCAAAAATCCTTATGGCTGTCTGATATCAAGTGGGAAACCACCACCAACAGCAACAATAACCAAAATGAAAAAGAGAGAGAAAGAAGAAAAAAAGGGGAAAAAATAAGCTCTTTCTGCCTCTTAAAAAAAAAAAAAAAAAAAAAAGGTAAGAGGGGGGGGAAAGTTTAAAAAAGAAATTTTTTTTAAAGAAAAAAAACCTGAAAAGATTCAGATTTAATATTGCATCAGAGGGTTTGTTAAGGTTTTTTATGCTCTCGCTAAGCATTGTAGTTTATTAGTCTGCTCTTCAATTCACTCCTGCTAATAAGTTTTTTTTTTTTTTTTTTTTTAAACCTTTATTATTAAGTATTGCTTTCTTCACAAATGCATTACATACAATTTAACAGAAAAAAATTTTAAAAGCTACATATTATTATTCCCAATGCAGTATTAAGTGTTGGAATACTTTTTTCTCCTTTTTCAGTTTTTTCTCAGCTTATTATATAAGTATCCAGTTTTGTTATTAAGATGATTTACAAAACTTTTTTCTTTTATCTTTTTATTATTAACTTTTTGTGTGTTTAACTTTTTATTTATTAAATATCATATTCTTCCCACTTATGCCACATCACATTCAACAACAAAATCACAAAATATTTAAATATAGAATAACTTTGGAATTCCCAATAATGTGTCAAGTTGCCATACTTTTTTTTATATTCACTATATGAAAACAAAACTAGCTTCTAGCATGGACAACTGCCTAAAATAGTTATTCTAAAAGAAAAAAAAATGTATTAATGCTTTTAATGAGTACATCTAGTGTAATTTCATATAAATATTCAATATTTTTGATTAAATATCTCATAGTATTAATGTACGTTTTATTTAAATTAATCATATTAAAAAGTAAAAAAGATATTTTTAAGAACTGTGTTTACTGCTTTTAAATTGATTAGTTTGTTAAGCAAATAACCTTCCAGATTATATCTGAAAGTTAAATATCTTAGGCTTTACTGAATGGCAACATGCTGAGGTGTGAAAAATAAAAGTAATTTTTTTGGGGGGGGGTATGGCAACACATTGTTTTCAAATATCTGAAATTGTTGATTAAAATTGAAAGATAAATATCTGACATTTTGCGGAATGACAATAATCTGATGCACTGGAGGTAAAAATGTTTTATTTTAAACAGTATTGTCATTTCTTGATTTCAGATTTTGAGTTTAGGTTCAAAAGCATAATATGGGCGGGGTAGGAATATATGTATTAAAAATTTGGTGACTGTAGGTACCATAATTTTCCATGTACATACACATATACAGATTTTTCATTATTTAATTTCTAAAAAATAATACATAACATTTGGTGGTTACAATTTGAAAAGTGAAACAGGCGCAAAAGTGAGTTTCAATCCTAATATCACCTCTAGTGCTTTTTTTTTTTTTTTTTTTTTTAAGCATTATATTAAGTATTAAAGTCTATTTAATGCAAATTACTGATCATTTTCACAGCATTAACAGCTTTTATATTCAACAAAAACAAGTTATAAGAAGCATATATCTGCACACAACCATGAGTGAAGCTATGCTACTTATTGAGATATAGATAAATACTTACTGTTTCTTTATAGTTAAAGGTGCAATTTTGGGTACATGAAATGAGTATTAAATAAACAGTTAGAAAGTAAATAGTAATTCAAAAATCCAGTTGCAATTAAACCGTCCCCAGAATATTAAGAAATTAGAGGTGGTGTTCATAGTTGTGACTAAGAACATCATTACCCAATCCACAGAAACAGTTGTTTGATGTGCTCGAAGGTACCAGGTGTGCTGTTGATGTCTTCCACAGCAGCAGTCATATGTACTGTGAGATGCTGCAGAGTTTTTACAGACATCTCATGAGTCATTTGAGGCGTCTTCAAAAGAAGCTCAAGGGATTGAGATCTGGGAAGCATGAAGGCAAAAAAATGTAGTCCACCCCCTGGATTAAGTAGCATGGAGGTGATTACATGCCACATTGGAAAAATATGCACCAGGCATAAACTATATGCTCCTCAGCAGTGTAGGCGATATAGTCTGCACCAGATCTGAAATGATATGCATCAAGAAACCGACATATGTTTCATTGCTGAGCATTCGTGGAAAAGGTATGCCTTCAGCAGATAAGCACTTAGGATTCCTGCCCAAATTTTTAACTCTGAACCTCAGTCGAGCTTTTCAAGTAATACTGAAATAGAAATTTTCTATTGACCACATATGTGCTTTATGACAATTCCATCTTGTGTTAGTCTGGCCTTGTAAGAGAATAAAATAGTGATAAGAAATTGTAGATTATTATTATTCCTAGTAGCATCAAGCATCCAATGCAAAAGCTTTACCTTATGGGAAGTTGTCTTTGGCGAAGAGTTGCATGTTTTGTTGATAGAAGGGGTACATGTTTTCAGTATATGCAATCTTCCATACCGTTGTCTGCAGATCATCAAGTTCAGTTACAGTTAAATCTTGAATTTATCAACTGTTACAGTATGCATTATTCCATTTCAGACGCATGCATAGAGTGCAGTCGCCCTACCTCACGTTTTACCTACTGGGTTGTACACACTGACTGAGTATTTTACTATGGCAGTAGCACATCAAGGAAACAGAAACATGAGCCTCACGGTTTCAGAACCATGAAGGAAGATTGTTCAAAATGGTGGACCAAGGGGGGGACTGGCTGTAAGTCTCCAAACTGGTGGACCAAGGGGGGGACTGGCTGTAAGTCTCCAAACTGGTGGTATTATTAGCGATCACGTCTTGTCGTTCAATCCAAATTCTGTGCAATTCCATTTAGGTGTCACTAGTGGTTTGTTGTCCACAGAATTCTGTGTAATCCCTTGAATGCTTGCATACTTACTGGCAGGTACACTTTGACTACTATTCAAATCTTCAGGCTCATAAAGCCGTGCTCCGTGGTTTCTGGGAATAGTGACTCCAGTCGAGCATTTCAGCCATGCATTTGAGAGTACCATTTAGAGTCTGTTGCCTGTAAGTGTGAGATGGGCAGCAGTAGAGTGAATTTCATTTTCTTTCGTCGGAGGGGAGGTTTGCCTGACAGACCCACCTCCGGCCTAATATAGAGGTCCTAAGTTAGGCCTGGTTGTGCATTTATCTGAGTTTGCAGTACTAGCAGTTTACAACACATCACACAAACTTCCAAAATTATTCATATATTCCAAATACACAAACTTCCAAAATTATTCACAGGATAAAGTATTTTTAATTAATTTATGTTTAATTATTAATTTAGTTATTTAGTACTTTAACCAATTTATTTCAGAGTTACAAATGCAAAATAAGAAGTAAATTTATGAAGATAAAAGTGAAATCGAAGTAAATAAAAAGATTAAGACTTATGCCTTTCAGATAAAACAACAGAATTATTAGTGTATTTAAATTAATTGAAAAGTGGCATTTGAGTTCAGACTGTTACTTTTTTAAAAATTAAATTTAAATAAACCATGTCTGGTCATTTAAATTACTAATGTCAAACATTCTGATAATTATAAGAAATAATGACTCTAACACTAAGATATTTTTTAATTTCTGAAATATTAAAAATATTTCAGAAAACTTTCACCTTTTGTAATTTACAAAAACTCTTAATACAGACAGCTCTTGCAGCACTACTAATGTTATTTACGTTCAAATTGAATATGCGGTCACTTGTTGAAATAAATTTGTAAATATATTTTAAATTTTGAAGACCTAAATGTATATACAAATTAAATAAATGGATTAATTTTAAAAGCCCTCTTACTTGTGTTCCCCAAATTATTATACTTATGCCATTGAGTAAATTTACTCGCTGTTTGTTTTCTATATTGTAATCTTGATGTATCATTTTATTATACTGCATATTCGAAATCATTGGTAATTCTAGCTTTGTGAAAATATTTTCACTGAATGACAGGATTTTAGAATTGATAATATAGGTAATTTATACAATATTTACTTGTTTTATGTAACATATATTGCTCCTTCCTTCCACCACCCCCTCTTCTTCTTCATGATCTGCAAATCATAATTTTTCCTTCATTAACAAATTAAGACTGAAAAATTTTACAAAACAAGGTAAAATTTAAATGCTAATGACTCGGTCTTGGAATATTTATTTATGAGTGTTAGTACAGTACATTATCTTTAATCCGGACTTGTTGGGACTTCGGCAATTCCGGATTAGGGGTTTTTTCGGATTTTAGATCATCAGTTTAAATCTGGTAAGATGGTATGCAGAAATTATAAAATTAAAAATATGAAACCGTAATTTATGAAATAAAGCAGTTATGATCTAATGGGTATCGGAATTTACAAAAAAGCTTAATATTTATTTGTTTGCTTTATTCAACATTTCTTTCAATGTAAGTTGTTTAAGTTGCTTTGTTTTATGTGCTAATACCTTCTCTTTAATTCTATAAACAGACATAATTTCTTGTTCAGTTACAAAGTTCCACTGTTCAAGTCTTATAATTGCTGTGCCGAGAATACCGACTAACTTGTCAATCGAAACTTTTTCGTATTCACTAACCTCTCTGTCACTTTCTTCATGCCTTTATCCATTTTTTGCAGCAATTCCACTTTTTGTTTGATGGACATTGAAACATGCTTTTGCTTTGTAGATCCTTTGGCAACTCCAGAATCGGAAACTCTTTTTGACATAATCGAAAGTTCAAGCTTACTTTTTATAAAATTGCTCTAACAGGCTGCAAAAAATAATAAGCCGGATACAGTTAGAAGATTAAGGAACAACACAATCTGCAACATTAACTGAAATAGATAATTAGATGATTTTAGCTTAGCTTATACCGTCTGTTATACATTAAATGCGCATGCGTAAACGTATTATGTGCATGGGTAAACGCTACGCATGCACAGAAAGTTTAGCTTTGAGGTCCGGATTAAAGACTTTGTACTATATTATTTTAGGAACTTATACTGAAATATATTTAAAAAATAACTTTTTAGTTTGTAAATTTATTTGAATTTCAAAATCTTATTTTAGTTATGAATAAATTGCAATTAATTTTTTTCTCAAGACAAGTTTTATTTAAAGGAATGATTGGTTATGGTATGGCTAAGGCAGCTGTCCACCACCTAGTGAAAAGTTTAGCATCACCAAATAGTGGAATACCAGAAAATGCTAAAACGTTAGCTATTCTGCCTGTTACTTTAGACACACCTATGAATAGAAAATTCATGCCAAAAGCTGATTTCTTATCATGGACACCTCTCGAATTTGTTGCCGAGTAAGTCCTTTGTATCAATAAATCAGATGTAAATTTTATGAAGTAAGTGTGATTAGTTTTTATGCTGTGTGAGGTTATGTTATGTAAAATAATGATGTTAAAACATTTTTCTCTAACAAGCAATGTTTCTTTTTCTTTAATACATTACTCTTTTCAGAAGAATTTCACTAGAAAATTCATTCATTTAAAGAATGCAAATTTCAAAAATAATTTATATTTTATGTCCATTGATTATTAAACTTTTTTCTTCCTTTATGTAACAAAATAATTTGCTCCTGGAAAAGTGGAAAATATCATTAGTTTATAAAAATATTTTAAATATTTTTGTGGGAGAGGGGATTGATTCTTAATTAAGTATTGAATAAATTTCCGTTTTGCCATTGCAGGTGATAAAGTCGCCAATAATGGTCCAGCTGATGCCAAATAGAATATCATGGCTGGTAACCTTCTACGCATCATTTTCAAAACAAATCGCAGCCATTTCTTATCAGATTGATTCTTTCTTTCAATACTGGCATACGGTTACGTAGAATTTTTATCAGATAGTTCAATTTTATGCTCTAAGGCCATTCGCAGTAGTTAAGTCAATTAGGATGCAACCACACCGCTCACCCGAAGGTGAAAATATAGAAAAGTCAAGGGTTAAATTCATCAATTCTAATGAGAATGCATTAGCGAAGTAAAGCTCTACAGTTTTACATAATTTCTGAATAAGGTATTCGTATGAACTGAAATAATTCTTGCATTCCAAATTAAGATTTAACTTGAAATTAATGTAGATAATTACTAAGAGAATTAGATTTTTGTAGGGTAGTTTATGCGAGATGAGATTACTTAGGGATCACGTGATATGAACCGATGAATCAGGATGTTGAACCACAAAAGCATAGTAAATTTTTAAATTAATGTCTTTTTACAAATTTATTGTGCTTATTTATTGGCTTTTTACAAAAATTTAAACAATATTAAAATGAAAAAAATAATAATAAAATTCAAACTAAAAAATTCTTAGAATTAACATTTGCTAACATTTTTATGTGTATACTGTATGTTGTCGCCAGTAAAGTCTGCTTGGCAAGATTTGTGCTGGCGAAACGGAAAAGTACCTAAATTTTATATTATTAAATTATTATGCATTTTTTGCACACTAAATATTCATACAGTTCTCTTTTTTGCATAAAAGAAATTGACTATTCAAAATTCATTTTATTATTTTGATACACATTTTTTTCTTAGTTTAAAAAACATTTTTTTTTATCATGCCTTTTATTTTCAACCAGTTTTATTTGAAGTTCCGTACAATCTCTAATATTTTATTTTAATTAAATCATTTAAATTCATAAACATATGCATTAAATTTAAGAATTTATTTTTAAATATTGTAAAAAATTACCAAGGCTAAATTATAATGAAATCAAAATTCTCATTTTCCTTTAGTGTTTCAAAATTTGGAAAAATAAATTCAAGAAAATTTTTTTGTTTGTTCCTTTTTGCTGTATATGGTTAATACTTATTTATTATTTGTAAAGTTTTTAAATAATGAAGCTCTGAAGAGAATCCCCCCTTTTTTTTTGTTTGTTCATCTTTTGAATATTTTTCATTTGTAACATTTTTTATGTTAATTAAGAAATATACTTTCATGTAGATTGCTGTTGAACTGGGCAACTGGAAAAGAATGTCCAGCAAATGGAAGTTTGGTGCAGCTCATCACCAAGAATAGTGTTACTGAATTAAAGGTTGATTGAATGTTTAAATGATATTTTGACATGTATTTCTGTTGTAATGCTTTTAATGTAAGTGCATTTGAGAAAAGGCCAAATTATTTACAGTATGGCTTATTGTAACACAATTTTAAAACATATCTGTGATAAATGTCTTAATTGTTACACTGAAATTATGTTAAAAATTTAGTTTATTTGCTAAGTCTTGTTAACCATGGCAAAATATATATATACATTTTTATATCTTTGTTATGTAAAAAATAGGGATAACATTCTTTGGATTATATTCTTAAATGTTTATATTAATTTTAGTGTAAAATAGCAATAACATTTTAAATATACATTTTTGTATTTTTTATTTTGATATAATTAACTTTAATCACTATATAAATTTAACTGGTTTTTAGTTTTTTTTTTATAATTAAATGTAATTCAGGTTACATTTTTACACCTGTAAAGTTTTTCTTTTATATAAATTTTAGATAGAAATTATGATTAACATATCCAAATTCAGGGACCTTAATGTGATATTATTAACTATTTTGAATGTTTTTATTGTTAAATATGATGTACAAAATAACTTTGTAAATGTAAGGTAGAAGTATTATCAGCTTTTAATTATGGAACATTTTAAGTTCTTGCTCAGTTTTTCAAATGTTGAACACCACTTTAGATTCAAGCAAGCTAGCATTTAATTCATTATTTTAATATTAGGATGCATAAAATGTCCATTTGTAATAGGAATTTAGTGAAGAATGGTTGAATTTATTTGCATGCCATTCAAATAAATTCAACCTTTCTTCAAACTGAATCCTGCTTATTTAAAATATTTCACTGTAAAAGTTTCTTTAGGAAGATGAATTTAAGACTTTCAACTCTTTATAGAAAGTGCAAACTGTAAGCTTATTAAATTAAAAAAGGGAAAAAGAAGGGTTGTGTTTAATCTGTGTATCTTAAGAACATTGATTGAACCACATTTTAATTATGCACAGATGAATTGTAAAAGCTTTCTTCTCTTTTCAATTCCAATTAAATATTTGATAGACTTTTTTACAAGTATATTTTACTATCTTCTTTTAAATAATAATATATATATATATATTAGTTATATCATTATATTTATAAATGTATATTTTAATTATATAACTATTAATATTTAATCCTAGTAATATATATATATATATATATAAAATTAACAATTCAAAGGTATTAGTGAATTTAACAAAATGCATTTTTAGAGTAAAACTTTTTTGGGAAAGGATATGATGAGACTAATATTTAAAACTAAATACAGGCTGTTTATAAAGTCTTTTTGCAACTTTGGATATATATGTAGGGATGTACTTCAAATAGTGAAGATATGCTATAAATTGCATTTAAAAGCTTGATTTTAAAGCTAAAAATGTCCTCATTTAAGTATTATCATGTTTTGGATCTAAAATGTTCTTGAATGAAATCTTTTCTCACAGACTAAGACCAAGTTTTTCGTGCGTTTGATCTACTGTTACTCCATTGGATTAATTACGTAAAAGCAGTCGTGTATATTCTTTAGATAAATGTAGGGTTGGGATGGCAAAAGCAATTCGTGAAATCGCTGAAGAATCTTAAAATTAAAACACTAGTGTGCATAATGTGTTATGAAAAAAATTGATTATATTGAATGTTAGAAATGTGAATTGTGCTGCAGTAAAGCAGTTCTAAGTGTTTTATGATATGTTATTATTATGTGTACATCTAAAATTATAAAGTTGCTCAAGGGTTCTATAGATGCTCTGTATAAATAAAGTTTCTGTCTGTGAAATAACCAGAGTGACTACAGAGGAGAAAGCATCCTTAATACTTAAAGAATACTTAAAGAATTAAGGGAAAAAAAAAAAAACTGTAGACATGTTAATTTCTAAACTAACTTCATTTAATGTTAATAATTTTAAATGTTAATATGACTTTTGGGTTGCAAGTTCTTTGCAGTGGGAGAAAAAATAAATGCAATATATGACTTTGCTGCAGTGAAACTGTCAGTATTATACGATATTTCTTTAACTTCAGTAAATTTAGCGGGAGATAACTGATGATTTAATGACATTTTTGGATTACCTCTGTCCTGTATGTAGCTAATCATTAAATTGTGTAATAATAATAACAAAGAGATTTTCATAGAAATTATTTAAAATGTATTTATAACAAGGTACAAAAATTTTAGTACAAAGAATGTTTAAAATTTATATTTTTGAAACATTTTGATATTTTGTAACAGTAATAATTTAGTATAAAAGAAGGAAGGAATAATATAGTTTGTTCAAAGGAAATGTCTATTTTGGTTGAATTTTATTGCAAATAAATAAATAATTTCATTTTTCAATTGGAAATGTAAATGACACTTTTTTATACTTTTTAAAGGACCAATTTCTGTGAACTGAAGAATTTTGAGGAAATATTATAGCTTCACATTGAGACGGCACCGTTAAACGTACCTTGTAAGGATTAGAAATAATTGTTTCATAAGAGATTAACTACATTAAATGAGTTGCATGTTCATGTAATTGCATATTTTTGTATTTAGATAAATCAAAATTTTCAGTTTTCAGGGATTACATTAGCACCTATAAAATAAACACTTGAATGTATTCATATCATTGGTGTATTGAAAGTTTTACTTTTGTTCTCTGAATAACAGTTTTAAATTTGTTAATGCCTAGTATGTTAATAAATCAAGTAATGGATATAACACAATTAATTTGTGATTTCTAAATTAATATAAATGGTTCAGTTTACATAAAATTTATTAGTGAAGATATAATAAAATATTTTCTTCTTTTTCCCTGTGAATTTTGGATCTCAGTGTGATTTTGACTGAAGAATTAGTCAGTAATGCTACATGTATAACAGCATATATGCAAAATGTATTGCTGTTGGTAAAATGCATTTTCTTCTTAAAAAATCCTTTTTGAATGAATGTCATAGAAACTTGGTTTAGTTTTGCATTTTTTTTATGAAACACTGACCAGTTAGTGAAAGTTAAGAGATGGATAATTTTATAAGGAGAGTTAAAGTGCTGTGTGAGTTGCTTGTAAGAAAGAAAAATTATAAAATTTTCTTAGGCGTACAAATAAAGGTTAATTTATGTGCTGTTTTAAGTAGCAAGTGACTGTTTAAAAATAATCCAAAAACTGAAATTTTGAATTGAAGCTGAAAATATATTTATTATAGTTATATCTAATAAACTAGTACCTAAAAACCTGAAATGATAGAAGAAATTTAAATATAACTTAAGAACTATGAGAGATAAAAATGCAATAAATTTCAATTTTGATAATTGAAGAGCTATCTGAAACAAATCTTGTTCCTATTTATGTGTACTAATTATATTATTGATCGAGCAATTTTTAAAAATTCTTTCATATCAAAATATTATAATGGCCTCAAAATGTATTTAAATTTCTCTGTACCATATTGATATAAAACATATAATGTAGACATAAATCAATATTTATGTAAAAGCATACTGTTTTGGACTGCTAATTGGATACTGGTTGTAATGTAATGTGCAGTAGATGTATAAAATATAAATACAGCAAACCCTTGCTGAATGTGAAGTTTATGTCATTAATACACTGTGCATATGGCCTTCTCCAGAATTAACTTTCTGTGGAAAAAGTGTGTTAAATATAATTCAGAATAAAAAAAGATTTCTAGTTTAAATAGACTCAAATATTTTATTAAAAGGAAAAAACAAAATAAATTTTAACTGAAAGGATTTTTATTACTGCTTAATAAGTATACACAATTGATTTTTTTAAAAAAGCTGTTAATTTTTGTGCAGGACAATGATTGACAGAATTCTTTAAAAAAGGTTTTGTGGAGGTATTGATGAATTTTCAGTGCTATACTAATAATATAACACAATTGATTTTTAAAAAAAGCTGTTACTGAAAGGATTTTTATTACTGCTTAATATGTATATCACACAATTTATTTTTTTAAAAAAGCTGTCAATTTTTGTGCAGGACAATGATTGGCACAACTCTTTAAAAAAAGTTTCATGGAGGGACTGATGACTTTTCAGTACCTCTCGGAAATTATCCTCTTCTTTCTTTATTTGGGTCAGTCTCCATTGCAAAAATCAAATAGTTCCTTTTAAGAATTCATTTAACTTTTAAGTTAAAGGCACTTTATCATCATCTTCATGATTTATGCTTTTACTGTTGGCTGGTGTTCTTAGATTATTCAATTCTTCAATTTTCATTTCTCACTTAATTCTGACTTCTCCTTATATATGAAAATCCTTCACCATCATTTACTATTACAGTCTGTACAATTTCTTTGGTTTAATTTTCAATTGATTGAAATCTTTTTTAATTCTCAATGACTTCTGACTAGAGTCAATGACAGTATGCATTCATATTGATGAATGAACATTAACCCTTTCTGGCATGCTACCTTTTAAAGTTGGAATTTTGATTTAAAAAAAAAAAAAGGTAGGCAGTTTAATTAGGCCTAGAGGAGTGCACAAGTAAAATTTTGTAAAGATAGCACTTACAGTTTTAATTCTGTGCGTGTGCCCGAAGCGGGGCACACTGATAGTATTCCAGCATCGCTGGGAAGCGCATGAAAAAGTAAGAGATTTTGCCTACAATTAAAAAACACTAGATTCTGAATACCATAGCAGATTTAGCATTACCCAGGGTGTGCCACGGAGGGATCTGCTACTCTGCACCCCCCTAAAAAGCTCATTTTTGGTTATATGATAATTACATGCTTATGAATGGGGGAAAAAAAGTAACTTGGGTATATGATATTTACCTTATTTACATTTTATATTTACACTTTAGTCTATTTTTTTCATTGTGGTACTTTTTGAAGAAAGTGACACTACCTTTGAAAAAGCACAACCCAATATTGCATGTTTTGCACTTGTGCTATGATCCGTATCAGATTCACTATCTGAAAGCAATTCGTGTACCACATTCAGTGCTTTAGAAATTGTCAGCCCTCTCCGAACCATTTGAAAAATAATTAAAATCTGAAAAAATAAATAATATTATATCTACAATTGAATTTAAACTATAAAATAAAATAAATGTCTACAACTCAAAGCTTTTAAACATTGCACTAAGAAAACTTCTTTGAACCAAAGTGAAAGAGAAAAAGAGAACTGTTCTAGTGAAAAACCAAACAGCTAACTGATAAAATTTTCCCTGATCTTCAGAAAATCAGTCCAAAAGAAGAAAGACAAAAACAGGAAATGAAACACAGATGTGGACCCACCTTTCTATGTTAATGAACTGACCGATGAGCTGCAGAGAAACAAAGATACAGCTGCCTCTCAGTGAACCCAGTCTGGAAACACTTCAGTTCGCCATTCGATTTTAAACAAGATTTCAAGGTAAAAATTTAAAACAGATATAGAATAAGAAGATTAGTATACAGCCAAAAAAGTAACATAGACATTTCCTTCAACATTCCTTTTATACCCTAGAAAAATCTGGAAGATTTCTTCGAAAAATGAGGGTCCTAAAAAAACTAAACATGGCTAAAATATATGGACTGGTTTGTGTTGAGCTGCCATCTACTATAAATAAAGACGGTTCAGAGTAACCTGCAGTAACCTTCAAATCCTTTTTCACTCAATTTTTCTGTGCATACAGAAGGAAATTTTAGGTGACACAAAGGATTAAACCACACATGAAATTCTAGCACTGGGACAAATTAAATGGACACAAAGTAATGCCAAATAGCATTCCGCACTCAGCAAAGGTTTACTGTCTAGCGTTTACTATGTATATTGCTTTTATAATGATACAAATATTTGGCATGAGTATTCATATTCCTATAAAAATGTTGTAATAATATTTTTTTAAACCTTTGCTAATGTGAAAAAAAATCAAAAGTATTATTTTAATACAACATAATTTATATAAACTAATATGGCTGTCTATTATAAAATAAGGGAAGCAATAATTAGAGCTTGATTAATATTTTCATTAAAACTTATTTGAGATAAATACTATTTGCTTTGATACATAGCATTCAAATTATGTAATGTTTCTAAGTCTGTAATGATTTTTTACATTAAATGAAAAAATGATGCAGAAGAAAGCTTGATGTCTATGGTATTAAGTTATACATTAATAATTCTGCTGTTAGCATTAACTGTAACAAAAAAAAAATTAGTTATTTCTGTTTTTAATAGACATTCCTAAAGATATGCATGCCATTTTAATTTCTTGATGGTAAATGTTATATGCATCTCTCAAAGTAATATTGATGTTTATAAATGTTAAGTACAAACTATGATTTGCTCTGTTACTTCCATGGTATGTAACTCAATTATAAAATTCTATTAAACTGAACTGTATTCATATTGTTTTGGCGTATTACTGTCAATATATTATCATAATTTTTAGGTAATCATATGCAGTAAAATATCAATAGTACCATTTTAAAATGCCAATTATTTAAATATGCTGTAATCTGCTCCAGTTCTGATAGATTACATAATCAGATAATGTAATCCAGAATTAAAATGTACTCGAGAATGATGCCATGTAATCTCTACAAGAATGATACTTGTCACTTTCCTTTCTTAAAATAGATAAAAATCAATATCTTCATTCATCCCCCCAAATGAAAGATAGAATTTTTATTTCAAGGAAGATAATGTCATATTGTTAATTCTAAGCAGAGAAGTCAAATTGATTGATATCTTCCTACCACTTTAACTACTACAATGTTATTTCAAAATATTAAAGTTTCAGTAAATGATGGGTCTGGATCTTTTTCACGACTAAATATTGGGCGTTCGACGTGGGTTTGATTTTAGGTGAAAAGATTAGTTCATAGTTTTCTTCATGTGTAACTTGAATATCCACCACAAAGATATCCTTTTCAGGCAGATAGCTCTCATGTGCTTTGCCATATTCAACCCCCCCTTCTTTTGCTTAACATTACACACATGGTATGATTTTATCATCATAATTATTTGTATTGACATTTATGTACACTATATCTTTTTAATGATAATGTAGACATCTTTCAAGCTTCTCCATATCATCCATTTTGCATTCTATGCCTTTCCAGATTAACATTAAAAATGTAATTTTCAGGTAATTAGCATTTTAATTCACTTAAATAAATATGCATTCAATAAATTGAAAAATATTTATTTGAAAAATATTTATTGAAAAAATATCTAATTCAATAATGCAATGTGTATCTTTTTAAATTAAAAAGACATTGAAAAATTAGATGAAAATTTTCTCATTTTACACTGAATTTTTGTAAAAGAATAAAAATTAATTAAATACATAAATGCTTTATTACACAGATATATGATTAAATAGTAACACAAAAATTTGTTAATTAAACTGATATAATCATTTTAGCAATGAGAAATATGAGAGTTAAAAATTAACCAGTCAGGATGTACTGGTTAATTTTTAACAGCTTGTCATTGAAGTGGGACTATACTTGATTGGGAAAAATCCTTCTCACTGAGCGTGTGGCATTTTCTAGTAACTTGAAAAATTGCTTTTCAAATTTTCATTTCTGCAATTTATTTACGTATTAAGATTTCTAAAATGTCTTGTTTTAATCACTCTTTGAAAATATTCTTGTCCCTACATTAGAATAAACAAAATCTTTTATAAAATGACATTCAATACTTAAGATGTGACATAAAATGCATACCTTATGTAGATAGTCTGAAACTCACAGCCCCCAAAGCAAATCTACATAGTTTGTGAATGCATTTCTTGTAAATTAACATTATTATGCCAAGAATTTGAAAAAGTTCCAATTTTACATTATTTTCATAACCCGAAAAGAAATGTTGAGTAAAATCCCAGAAAATCTTGAAGTGGAGCGAATTAGTTTACAATTTGAAATCTTTCTCGAAGAACTGAAGATATAGATTTGATTTTTATTCAGAATTGTAAAAAAATACCCCTAGATATTAATTTTTTATAATAATCACTGAGAGTACATTTATATGTGAGCAGCTTTTTTTGTTAGGGAAAATAAATGAGTCTAAAAAAAACCAGCTTGACTGATGAGCACCTACAATTTGGGTTGTAGGAAAAAATGTCACCCGGAAAAAAGGGAAACGGAAAGAATATCCCCGGAAAATAAGGAACGGAAAAAATGTCACCCTTCGTTTGCAATGGGAAATATAAGGCATGTTTAGAAAGATCGCCAATCTGGGTGATAAAAGTTTTATCTCAACAACCGTAACTTCGGATGACCGGAAACATGTGCGAGTAGAAGCAAGAAGATGTGTTGGCTGCTTGTTTCTTCCATGGAGCCTACCTCCATAGTTTCTTCGCTAAGGTTAAAAATAGAGGGTTGTTTAGAGAGGGAAGCTTTCGCGATGGACGCCAGGGGGAAAGGCGGGTTGTCCAGCGTCGGTCATTGTCAGGTCTTTAGTAATTACTCTCCTCGCACTGCATGTAGTTATAGCCTTAAGCTGCGGTTTAGTGAAACATTTATTGACGCACAACAGAAAACTAATTCATCCTGAGCTTTGGTATAAGAAACAGTTGTAGATGCAATTTCAAGTTACGGTTTGCGATAACACACAAATGTTAAAAAAAGGCCCCTTTGGACGTAATTTAAAATCTGAAACCTTTCAGATTTTTTTTATTTTACTAAAATTTTAAAATCTAATTAAAATGGATCCTATAACCACGCGATCTGGATTTAAACATTTAATATGCAATGAACCCTCTTATGGCGACCTCTTCCAAAATAATTTCTCAGAGTAGAAATTAACACTTGTACCGAGCATTATCTCTTTAAGATGACCACTTCCACCAAAGACCAAAATAATTAGAAACGTGGATGATCGTATTAGAGAGGATTTAATGCATTTTACAATGCACCAATGCGTAACCTACTCAGAGCCGGACCATCTAGTAGCCCATAAACGATTGGCGACCATCTCCTTAAGACGATCACTTCCAAAAGTGACAGGCATTTCTATAGGTATAAACAAACACTTGCACTGAATATCATCTTTCTAGGGTGGTGATCTTCACAGATATCCAAAAATCAACTAGAAACATGGATGGATTAGGATTATTCAATTATGGCAAAGCGCACGAGGGCTATCTACCTAAAGGGAGGGATGCCTTCGTGGAGAACTTTCTAAGGGAAACTGGCTCGTATACATATTACACATGGGGAAAACCACGAAAGTGCCCATGCAGCCAGCCCGTTCGCGGGATTGGAATCTCGGACCGAACTACCAGTGTTCAGCGTCTTTACCGCTCGGCCGCTGATAGGCTGAAATCTGATGGATGGCTGATGGATATCTTAGAAAGGATTTTTACTTATAGTAGTTATATTAATTACAATTACGTGTAAAGCTTATGGAAACTTAAAAGCGGCCGAGCGGTTAAGTTGCTGAATACCCTGGTTGTTATATCTGGGTTCGATTCCTAGCAAAGCAGCTTTTCGTAGTTTTTCCCCCACCTATATAACGTGGTTACGAGCTAGTTTTCCTTAGGAAGCCCTCCACGAAGGCAACCATTCTCTTAGGCAGATACCTTTCGTGCGCTTTGTTATAGTCAAGTAAACCAAACCAAATTAAAGAAGCTTATTCATTCTACTCTCCAAATTGAGCTCCAAATAAGTCATACGTGGGAGCTTTTCGTATTCATAACGTAAAAAACGTATCAAAATGGGGAAATTAAATAAATTTAATTATTTAACTTGGTTATCTAGAATTCCAGTTTTTAATTTATCTCTTGTTTCCAAAAATCTGAGCATGAATAAATTGTGTAATAAAGCATAGACAGATAACTTTGAAATTCAGAGAATAACTTAAATGGCCTTTGACCACTAGCAGCCGAGAGGTAAAAATCGTTGAATATTGGTAGTTCGACTGGCACGCCACGAAAATTCCTGGTAAGCAGCACATCCGCCATGGCGTTCAAACCATGGCGGATGTGCTGCTTACCAGGAAATTTTCGTGTTTTTCTCCATGTGTAACATAAATACGAGTCAGTTTCTATCAGACGTATGAAATAATTTTTGTCAACTACTCGCTATAAACAGTCCTCCATGAAGGCATCCATATTCACTTCGGCAGATAATCTTATGGTACTTTGCCATAACCTAAATAATCTGATTTGATGATTATGCTAATTTTTTCTCATACTGAAGCCTGTGATGCTTTAATTAATGTTTTATTTATCATAAACTGTGTTAACTGCTTTAAATTAACCAAATCAGGATTTTTTTCTGTTAGATTTCCTTTTTGAAATTTTTGACATCATTTTAGAAGCCTAAATATGTCAGATCGTTTTAGTAAGACGTATTATTTGTAACTGTTTTACATATAAGTACAGAGAATCTCATGACGGCGAACTCTAAAAGTGTTTCCTACAACATAAATAAACAGGCTTTTATACATTTGCCTCTCTAATGCAACCATCTATATAAAGTGGCCTAAAAAAAATCGCTTGAAGCCGGCCGTTAGTGGTCGCATTAGAAAAGTCTCATTATATTTGCATTTTTGTGGCATTTAATAATTTCAGTTACATGTCTGCCTTATAAATTATAATATTGATTTTTCAAGGTCGTGTAACAACTTTCAATATAAATTAGAATAGTAATAATCTTTTACATTCCATTCGGATTATTGTATTCGTATGAAAGCCTTGAATCAATTGTTGATCATTATTTTGTACGTATGCTATTGCAAAAATTTAAAAATTCTTAATTATGATATTTTCCAATATTCGGGCTTTAAATGCCCAAGTTATTTAATTTTATGCCAAGATTTAAACTTTGTGCATTTACAATAAGAAGATCTTAATTCTGGAACTTTTTAACATCTGAAGCTGGTTAAAACTGGTTGAAATGTGTTGCAGTCGCAGTTCGTATGCAAAACCATTCTCGCACTGATTTGTTTTATGCTTAATTTATAGCAATTTCCCTAAGTAACCAAATTTTAGATTTATATCATTTTTTTTTTTTTTTAAATTGTGAAAATAAACAAAAAGAAAGGAGAAAATTTTTCTTTCTTACATTATAATTATTTTCAGTTCATCTTTTATGATAATTAGTGTATTTTTCAATTTTCCTCAACTGTCAAATCTTGTTGTATTTCTAAATATCTTTAGATTATTTACAGTCCCTGCAATTTTAGAGTTTTTATGTTAAACTCTAAAATAGTTATTAGAAGAATTATTAGAAGCATTTGATGTAATTAATGACGCACGTCGCCCATAGATTCGCAAATTTTGAATTTTCAATATTGTTGCAAGCACTTGAGCAGAAAATTCGTCTTTTCTAGCAAATTGCAAATTTTAAAATTCAAAAAATTCAACTCCATCAATCCAATTTTCAGACTCAATTAAA